CAGCCTCACATGGGGAAGGGGAAGGATCTGAGCGACTTTGAGAAGGGTCAGATCGTGATGGCGCGCCGTCTGGGTCAGAGTATCTCCAAGACAGCGTCCATCGTCGGATGTTCTCGGGCCGCAGTGGTCAGCACCTTCCAGAAGTGGTCCAAAGAGGGGAAGCTGGTGAACCAGAGACTGGGTCACGGACGGAGGAGACTCATCGATGAAAGCGGAGAGCGACGGCTGGCCCAGTTGGTCCAGTCCAACCGGAAGGCCACCGTGGCTCAGATTGCCGAGGAGGTCAACGCCGGTTCTGAGAAGAAGATGTCTGAATGGACGGTCCACCGCAGCCTGCTGCGTCTGGGCCTGAGGAGACGGAGAGGAACCAGGGGCAGGAAGGACGGAGGAGGACGTGTGAACGAGGCTTCCCATCCGTCCGTCCCTGATGGTGCAACACAGGACCTCCGTTCTGGAAGCTCCGCAGCTCCAGTGAATCAGGAGGACGAATCTTCAGGAGGAACCTCAGAGCAGAAGGAGGAAGATCCGCCAGGAGGAAACTGATGATGATGATCTGGACAATATAAGTCTTTGGGTTCTGGTCGGGTTCTAGATCGGCTGCAGGAACTGAGGAACGTATCAGTGGTGAAGGCTTCCTGACCTTCATCCACCGACTGACCATCGGATTCTCTGGTTCCTTTCTGAGGGCCTCATTTATGTCCCCTGGGGCCAGAAAAGACATGTCTGCTTCCTCTTCATTAGTTCATAATAAAAATCCATTTTATTTGTGCTGCACTGAGATGATCAAAAGTGTGAAAAAAAAAACAGTTAAACTACAAACAATATAAACTGTATGTGAAAGATTCAGGTGATGTTTTTTCTGGTTCCTCAAAGTATCGGAGAGACTTTCCAGACATGAGGAGCAGAGACAGCTCCGTCCTCCATGGCGTCTGGCTGGGTCAAAACTAGCCTGGTCACTTTCTTCGTACTCAATCCAACCGTCTCTTCGGTGCTCCGTCCGATTGACCTGGATTCCTCTAGTAGAATTTCAACCGGGCCAATCAGCAATCCGAAGAAGTTGTGAATGATGATGTGGATTTTCTGCTGTTTTATAACTGTAGGCTGCCTGTAGTTTTATCAGTGGCCGTGGAGGAAGAGAAGTAAGCCGTTCAGTCCGTGTCGTTTGTTTCCAAACATCGAATTAACATTAAAAGCCGCTTCGTTTCGCAGTGGAGGCAATTTCTGGTAACCTTCACAATGTCGAACTGGGACATTACATCCATCATGGACAAATGTTAGCAATTGGGTAAATTTAAAACTTCAACAGAGTACACGCCTCCAGGAAGGAATCACTTCTCAATAGCTATGAGCCTCTGGACGAAGGTTTTACGTTGCTAGATCAGTAGTTCTGAGGTAAGGAGCAGCATGTAGGCAGGTTTAGGGGCCGGGGTGGCGACCATCATGGCTGCTGTCTTGGAGGTCTTTCTGTTGTATAAAGTTGTGGCAGATCCACATCTTCTCCTGCAGACATATACAGATATACAACTGTGTCATTAGTGTAGCAAGAGATGAGAAGTGACCCCTGAGGGACTCCACTGGTCTCTGTGCTCAATTTGCAGGTGCAGCATAAACCAACCAAAGGAAAAGAGTCTGTCTGATGGTGAAGCAGATGAAGGGGGGTGTTGTGGTCCACAGCTCCCAGCAGAGCTGCTTCAGGGCAGCGGACAGACTGGAAACCAGAGTTGTTAATGTCACTTTGTCAGAGATGGTCCTTAAGACAAGAATGGAAGATCAGACTTTAATTTGATAATTGGGATCATGAGTGGGCTGGGTGGTCTGATCCTGACCTTTTTAAGGCAGGAGGGCTGGGTCAGTTTGAGGGTCTGGGTCAGAACCAAGGCGAGGAGTGGTGTGTGTTTTCAGCAGGTGGACGATTCACTCAGCTGAAAACAGGGTGGGTGGTCATCTCTGTCTCTGGCCTGGAAGTTGATTAAACCAGACCAGCTGGTCATTCTCATTCATTTTAGGCTTGGACTTTGACTAGTCCATTCTTACATAGAATATATATTACAGCACATATAGATTTTTGGTAGAAAAGAACATCTGAACGTGATTTGAGGTTCATCAGAGTTGGAATAGTTCAGAGCTGCTCAAAACGCCGGTCGTCTGACGCGCTTGAAAAAACATTCACTGAGATCCAAAACGTCTGTAACTTTTTTAAAGATTAAAGAAATATACCAACAAAATGTGTTCAAATTAATGACCCAACAAAAATAATGATCTCAGTGATTATTGTTTCAACAAGGCGTTGAGCAATTCTGCGCGTTTCGGTTCCATCAGAGCAGGAGTTTAAATCAGCCCACCAGCCTCCGCTGTGTGCAGGGAGCGCGGATTAATAATCGCAGATTAATAATCGTGAAATAAACATCAAGCCTGAAAACCTTGTAACAACCACTATGTTTTTTTTCTGAATAAATACATTAAAGAGTAAATGTATCAAACTGTTTTGTAGAATAGTTTCTGTTATTTATGTTAAAATTATGTTCACTTTTCCAAACTGATTTTGTGCAGGTCATGCTGGTTTTAGGTCTGGTTGAAATTGGCGTGTGCGACGCTCACCGACAGATGTGTGCAGCGGGAAACTTAACTTGATTTAATGTTTAAAACACGTAACAAATCAAAGAAAAGAGATTAAACGGCAATCAAAGTTCGCCCCAGCGCCGCAGATCATGTTTTAGAAACTGGATCGAGTTGGACCCAGGAAACGCCGCCGGCACCGAGAGGAAGAAAGACGCTCCAAGTGACATCTGGACTTTACTTTTGTTTTTGGGGATTTTTGATGGTACCAGTCTTTTTCTCATCTTTTTTTTTTTTTTTTTTGGACGTTTTGGATTTTCCATTTTGGATGGGACTTTGGATTAAAACGGAAAAATACTTCCAGGACTTTGTTTTGTTTTTTGAGGATATGGAACTCTTTTACGGACATTATTCTCATTACAAAAGAACGGGAATTTTTGGACTTTTAATTATTTGAGATTTTTACTGACATAAACTGAGTGATTTAAATCTAACCTAATATTATTTTTGAGGGATTTTTGGTTACTGATCTATTTATCAGAATAACCATTATTATTTCATAGTATTGTTGTTTTTGTAATAAATTATTGTTGCTAAAAGTCAACAAATTTCATATTCAGTGGTTAGATATTTATTTTCTTATCAAATTAAATGGTGTAACATATTTTACCTGATTCCCGTGACAGATCCCCTTTGAGTATATTATGAGTTCTGTTTTAAATCAAGTTGAATTTTACAACCTCATATCGTAACGGACTGAATGTTTTGTTTCTAACGTAATCTCTGCTCGGCTTGCGGGACGCAGGCAGTTGCCACGGCAACGGGTGTGCTTAAACGACAAAGAGTGAAAAGGTCTTCATGGTTTCGAGCTGATCACCTGTTCAGGTCGTTTTGTTTACCTGTGGCTCATTACAGCCGCTGTAGTTTCTGAACGTTCAATAAACGACAGACTTGGACTAATGACCTCGTTCGTCTGAGTTTACTTCACAAACATCAAAGAGGACAAATATATTTCATTTATTCTTTAACTGACAAATGGCTACTACCGTGATAATTATATGAAATTTTATTCATTGTCTATTATTTTCTAAAAATAGTTTGGTGTTCTCTGGCATCTTGCTTTGAGCTCAGAGCCTAAGAGGAGCTTTACTGGCTTTTCCTCCATCAAACATGATATTTATTCTCGTCTCTTATTTAGTGGAAATATTGACGTTGATGAGACTTTCTCCAAAATGATGAGCTTTATCAACCTTTATAGCTCTGCTGTTGAAAATGAGGAGCAGCATTCACAGATGACATTGAAATAAAATCCAGTCCAACATCTGAGGTGATTCCTCTGGATCCTGTTGGAGGAAAAACATCCCAACTTCACAAGATGAGCTTTAACCTAACAGAGCTCTGTGGTTCCTCCTGTCAGGCTGAAGTTTCTCATATTGAGGTCAAAGTTCAGATCCACCATGACTGACTGACACCTGCTGCCTCAGTTTGTAACCAGCTTCTGACTGAGAAACCAGTAAGCTGCTCCCAGTGTCAGAATCTCACTGAGGAAGAAACTGCATCAGGTTTTCTATCACTTTAATATTTCTGCTATAACTGATGGATATTTGCATATAAAATAAGACAATACAGTTTCAATTACAATCCAGGATGTAAAATTTTTCATGTCCTGCTATCAGCTATCTTCTATCCTTTTATATCAGCAATAAAAAATTTAAAATACACACAATGTGTTAGAAAACTGTATTTGGTGACTGATATCCGTCAGGCTAAAGTGAACATCACAAATGCAGGAAAGACAGATTATCTTGGCGATTAAAAAAAACCTGCAACAAATCAAAACAGTGTAAGAGGAGCCCAACACAAGACCAGGTTTATTTATTTATCTACTTTAGAGTTTTATTGTTGTTAACAGCAGATGTTGATGGAACTGAAACTTACAACCTTGACATGACTGAGTCATTTACCGAGCAATCAATCACAAGCTTTGTGAAAATAATCAGATCTGGTTGCAGTCCGCACTCCCGACACAGGGGGCAGAATTTGTCATGAGGCTGCTGCAACTTGGAAAACCTTCCTCTGGTTGTTTCTACCTCCACCTACTGGACTGGAGTGTCAGACACTCGACAGGAAATCTATATTCCAGTTACAGAAGTTGTCAAATGACCTTGAGCCTCTGTCCGGGGTCGGCCTCCAGCGGTACCAAGGGTCCAGTTAGAAACCAGACAGATGGGCCTCCTCTGGGACATTTAGCACCATTTCTCTGTAGAACCAGGAGGAAACATCTGGAAAATGATCCCAGAAGATCCAGGTGGAGAGGTCAGAGGTCACCATTAGTCTGCTGCAGAGATTACAGTGGGACTGATGATAAAATCCCTCAAATTAAATACTGGTGTCAGTTTCAGGTCATCCATACGTCTGTTTCTGATGTGTTGTTAATGCATGGGAGGAAAACTAATCAGCTAAAGTCAACAGAACTTGAAACCAATCAATCAATGAATCAATATGTTGATACTAAGATTCAGTTTTAACGTGAGAGGAGAGAGAAATACCCAGTCAGGGTTGAACTAATCATCCCTTCATCACTAAAGGCGGTCAGGATCAGTTAGAGATGCAGCAGCCTCGTAGCGCCCTCTGCAGGCTGTCCAAAGCATTTTACCAGAGGATGTTCAACATTTTCAAACATCCCAGTGAAAGACAGGATTCAGGCTGCTGCTGCCGACTGCAGAACTAATGAAGAAATGGATACAGAAGCAGGTGAACAATTCACATCCATGTTCATAAGAATGATTGTTCAATCAGTGATGAAACCTAATGTGGTTAGACCTGATGGTTTATTGATTTTGAATTGGAACTTTAATCACCAGATGCAAATAATCAGCACGCACGCACACACACACACACACACACACACACACACACACACACACACACACACACACACACAGCTGACTGTTCAGCTAAGAACACTTTGTTTATTCCATAGAATCATTAAGGTTAGCTTGATAACAACAACCGTAACATGTTGCTCCTCTATGTCAGAAAACAACCCAGGAGGACGTTACCGGAGGAACTTCAGGAGAGTTAGTTGAACACCTTCAGTTACTGAACTGATAATCGCTTCAAAAGTAATTCCAGTTTTGTTATTTGGGACTCGAGACAGGACATTTGGGACAAGGAGATGAAATGACTGGAAGCAGGATACAGATTCCAACAACGCAAGAACTGAATAAAACTTTATATTTCAACTGTTTGTCTCTGTTAAGAAGACTACTTTAATTACTTTAATTCAGATAGGAAGCCAACAGCTAGTTTAAGCTAACAAAAAGCCAACAACAAGTTGAAGCTAACAGGACGCTATCACTTAGCTGATGCTAACAGGAAGCTAACAAGCTGGAGCTAAAAGGAAGCTAACAGCTAGATAAAGCTAACAGCTAGCTGAAGCAACCTTGAAATTACTCCAAATACAGTTATACAAAAAACCTTTTTATACTAAAGACGCTGAAAACAGAAACAGGAGAAATAAATTCTTCATATATCACCATATCTTATTTATGGATTATAGGCACCCAGAGAGCTACAAGAAAAAACTTTTCAGACCCCCGAACATGACAATTAGTCCATCTCTGAACTACAGACATGGGAACATGCTGAGGTCCTGGAGACCCACCTATAGACCAGTCCTGTCCATCATGGCACCTCCAGGTGTTGCTGAAGAAGACGCCTCCAGGCGGAGCAGAGTGTTCAAGGGGATGCTAGAGTCCCCAGCTAGCTGTGTGTTGTCATGTGAGCAATTAAGTTACCTTTCCTCTGGAAGCGCTTTCCACAGGAGAGACATAGGAACGGCTTCTCGCCTGTGTGTGTCCTCATGTGAACGTTCAGATTCCCTCTCTGACAGAAGCTCTTCCCGCAGGTCCCACACTGAAAGGGTCTCTCACCAGTGTGCGTCCTCATGTGGGCGATCAGGTTGAACTTATTGTTGAAGCTCTTTTCACAGGTGAGGCACTGGAAGGGTTTCTCACCTGTGTGGGTCCTCATGTGAGTGGACAGGTCGCAGCGTTCGCTGAAGCCCTTCCCACAGACATGACAAACGTAGGGTCTGGTGCTGCTGTGGGTGCTCAGGTGAGCCGTCAGGTTGCCTTTCTGGCAGAAACTCTTTCCACAGGTCAGACATTCAAAGGGCTTCTCGCCTGTGTGTGTCCTCATGTGAATGGTTAGATTCCCTCTCTGACTGAACCGTTTTCCACAGGTGAGACATGGGAACGGCTTCTCACCCGTATGGGTCCTCATGTGAGTGGACAGATCGTGGCTATCGCAGAAGCCCCTCCCACAGACAGGGCAGGGGAACGGCCGGTCGCTGCTGTGAGTCCTCAGGTGGGCCGTTAGCTGACCTTTCTGGTAGAAGTTCTTCTCACAGGTGGGACAGTGGAACGGCTTCTCTCCACGGTGGATCTTCACATGTCTCTTGAGGTTGTCCCTCTGGCTGAAGCACTTCCCACAGGTGAGACACTGAAAGGGTTTCTCACCTGTGTGCGTCCTCAGGTGACACGTCAGGTTGCTGCTGCTCAGGAAGCTCCTTCCACACACCTGGCACCTGTATGGCCTCTCACCTGAGTGGACCCTCTGGTGGAGACTAAGGCTGAGCTGGTGGGCGAAGCGCCTCCCACAGGCAGCACAGGGAAACGGTTTCTCACCTGAGTGGCTCCTCAGGTGGACTGTCAGGCTCAGCTGGTTCTTCAGGCTCTTGCTGCAGGTGGGGCAGGTGAGGGGCGTCTCTGCGGCGTGGACCCTCAGGTGTTTGGTCAGATAGCGCTTCTGGCTGAAACCCTTAGAGCAGGTTTTACAGAAGTGCTGGTTCTGATCCGTTTTGGGAGTTCTAGCCTCTCTACCTGGATGCCGCTCTTTGTTCCTGCTGGTTCCTTCCTGTTCTTCAGCCTCCAGAGTGACTCCAGGGAAGTTCTGGGCTCTGGTTGGGTCCAAATCAACAAGGTCTGGTTCCTCACTGGCATCAGCCTCCTCCTTCAGGACAACCTGCACTTCATCCGGGCTGCTGCACTCATCATCTGGTTCCTCCTTGATCCGGAGAAGTTCTGGTTCCTCATTCAGAGGTTCCGGTCCAGAGATCCTCTCCTGGTTCTGGGTGAAAACGTCCTTCTCACTGCAGAGACGACGCTGCTGGACGCCTGAAGGACAGAAGAAAAACATCTGGATCTCATCAGAACCGGTTTGACCCGTTAATCAGATTACTTGCATTTACTTCTAGAGCAACTTTTATTTCCTTAAGTCATTAATTAATATTAATAAACACACGATGTGAGGGCAAGTCTGTATTTCAATGACTTGATGCTGAGGTGTGTAGAGAATATTAAATCTTTGTTGAATGTTATACTGATGCATAATCACACTTTGTTAGTTACATGGAGAACACAAGTGGGGCCTTGCTCTGTTCTGCGTTCCATCATTTGGTTGAATTTGGCCATGATAGGCTTTAAGATGCATTAAAACCTCAGGAATAAAACTGGATGAGAGGGGAGACGAACCAAATGGTAGTTAACGTTATAACTTCATCCCAGGACAGGACCTGTGGGTACAAATCAAAGATGTTTTCCCAAAGCAAACATCTTTGCTCTATAGCCCCCAGTAACTATTTTTTATTGCCACAGTTCTCGGACAATAGGGTTGGATGAGCCTGGTCTCAAAGCGGGGCTGGGTGCAGCAGAGAGCAGAGCAAGACCAACGGGGCTTGTTATACAAGAGGAGACATACAAAGGACTTCAACGGATCCATGATTATTTGTAACTATCAACTTTATTTGGGAAATATTTAAGTTAGAGGTAAAAGAATACAGTAACAATATAGTAGATTATTTAGTTTTTATAAATTTTAATAAAATATTTTCACAGGGATGTCGCCAGGTTGTCCACGCTGCAATGCATTCTGGGTAAATGACGTAATGGTCCAACACAGTTCTGCACCTCGCTGAACTGTGTGCAGTTAGTCAGAATGTTCTGCTTCGTGTGATGAGCTGCAGCTCAGCCCATCTGTCTGGAACTTGATAAACGGTTGAAGTGTGGCTCAGTGCCTGATGTTCTAATTGTTTTTGTGTTAACTGAAATGTGATTGAGACTGCACTTTCCCCCACCCCTTTAGGCAGTCCCAATCTGTGTAACCAGGGCACAGTTAATCTCTAATTAAAGAGGTAGCGCGAAGGAAGAGACTCGGAGCACTAGACAATTGATTGTAACTGAGATCTCTTTTCTGTTGCTCTCCTCACGAGTTCAGATCTAAATGAACCCTCTCCTCTCTTTTTGTGACTGTGTTGTAATAAGTGTTGTAGGTTTTCAGACCTAACACTGGCTCTTCTGGAATCTCCTGCATCAATGACCCTCAGCTGGAGACATGAAAGTGTCCAACACAATAAAATATTTCCTTTTTTTTAAACACAAGTATAAATGTATAAGATGCTAAACATTGTTCGTTTTAATTTGTAATTCTTCTTTTAAGTTCTCATGAAATTGTTGTTTTATTCTGGTATGATCATGACTTTGTTGAACTATTTTTGTATTTTACAACTTTATTCACTTATTACAATTTTTTTCTCGTATTATTCCGAGTTTTGAGAATAAATTATTACTTTATTCTCATATTATTACGACTTTAACATTATTATGACTTTATTTTTGTATTATGACTTTGTTAAAAAGCGTTATTTTCGGACAACTTTATTCTCTTTCTAGTGTAAATAATGTTAAACACACGTCTAGTACTTATTAGACTTTATTCTGTTCAGTAAAAAATTATAATCTTAGTCGGACCCTAATAGTTCGTTGAGTAACTTGTTGCAGTTGTCTCCATATACTGTATGGGTGCGTTCACACTGCAGCCTGAAGTGACTCAATTCCGATTTTTTTGCCGGCCGTTCACACTGCCAGTAAATGC